GATCGGTTCCCCCTATTTCCCCTTACCTTACTCTCACCACTGATCCTGAGGGGTTTATCTGTCCTGGGTTCCCTGTGTTTCCAGCTTTTATCTGTACCTGTGTACATGCTCTGGTCTAGCCAGATTTGTAAGGTACAATTGGGGTCATGATAGTAGGGGGAGGGAGGAAGCATTAAAGAACTAGAGGGAAGTTGTATATTTCATTGGTGCTATACGGCACCCTGGCTGGCTCATCTACTCCCTTCTTTAAGGGGATGTCCAGTTGTATAGGCTTTTCTTATGAGGGACACTAAATATAAGGTAAATTAACATAGAAAAAATTCAAGGGAACAATTAGAAGCAGATTAATATTGAAATTTTTTGCTAAACTCTTTCATAATAGAAAATATGATTTTCTAAAGGACTTCTAAAGTGCATACGTTACATGTAATTCTCTATTTCACTATTTTATAAGGTAAAAATTATTGGCCTGGTGAAAATATGGAAGTATAGTTGTGCATTTTGGAAAATGTACTAGTAAAAATATTTGGGATCATGTATGTATTAAGCACTTGGTGTTGCTATGTGCCCTCAAATCGGGTCAGCCTTGTAGCAGCTCTGTCCATGTACAACAGAAAGAAACACTGCATCCAGCGCCTCGCTGGCGCAGTGGTTCTGCATTGGGCTGCGATCCCAATAGTCAACAGAACGAAACACTGCCTGGTCCTCACAATTGTTGTTTGAACTCATTGCTTTTTTACCATTGGGCTTAAACTTTTTTGTTAATTTAAAAAAATTTATGTTTTATTGACTTTGAATTTATGTATCATACAATTAAATGGTCTGAATATATTAAAAAGATTTGTGCTATTATCACCACAATGAATTTTAGAACATTTTCTTCATTCTTGTACTCATTATTACTATCTCCTCATTTTTACTCAGCCTCCCTTGAACATAACCATAATAAACTGTTAATATAGTTATTTTCTCTATGGATTTATATATCCTATATTTCATATCAAGAATAATGCAAAATACCCCAGCAACAATAAAATAAAACTCAGGAAAAGAGAAAACAATAAAAACTAGAAACAATTTAAAATGGTTCAAGAGGGGAAACAGATGATAA